TTCGTTGACGTCATTGATGGCTTGGTCGGGCAAATTGTCGGCGTATATTTTCGGGAAGAAGATCTTCTTCGGCTCACCGTCGATGAATATGAAGGCGAGAAGTGCATTGCCGTAACGGGTGCAGGTTTTTTCCAACTTCTCTAGTGGGTACCGACGCCCAACCTCCAGTTCGGTTGCCCTTATTTGTTCGTAGACCGGCTTTACAGGCACTTTATTAAATGCTTCCATGATCTGGAACAAATATATGTACAATGAATGGTATTAATCGGGGAGGTAAATTGAGGTCCTTGAAACAAGCTCCAAGACCAAATTTTCGGCGGTATCTACGAGGACAATATCGTAAAGTGGAACGTGAGACCCATTTACAAAATCGATCAGAGTAGGAGTTAAGTAATTACGCCAAATCAGTTCGTAGTTAGGGACGTGTAGTTTTCCTTGTCGACCATGAACGTCTAAAATTAGTATTTTTTGGGGATCGGGTATATTTTTCCACATCTCAAGTCTCACACGGAGTAACGGGTACCTCTGTCCTACAACTAACTCATTTAGGTTTATTACGCCATCGTTTGGCAAAGGAGGAGGCGGTATACGGGGTCTTATACGGTTGAATCGTTCCATCCTATTGAGAGAGAATGAGTATAAGACGGAAAAATCTCGGCTTGTAACTGTAACAGAAAATAATGAAACATTGGACTTTAGTTTGTCGTCTGCTTGTTCTGGCTTGAAAGGGGGGGGGATATCTAAACATAATGTACATGAACTAATATCACAGCTTGGTATTGGCTATTTAACGAAAGAAAATACTTACACATGATTCTAATAAAATCGAAGGTCGCTGCTACAATGGGCAACATGTTGAGATTGTGCAGTTTTGTCCTTTTTGACTTGTCGAGAATCGTCATCGTTTGTGGCGACGTCTTTCCTAGAGTTTTCGCGATTTCTCTTCCTTTTCTTCAGTGGCAGTTTTTTCGCTTCCACTTCTTGGGTTGCTACGCTCAAGTGAAGAGGAGACGGCTCGGCGTCGTCGTCGTTGATGGCTTCGTGACAGGAGAGAGAGCTGGTCTTCGGCCTTTCCTCTATCTCTGCTGTTACTCTTCTCATTTGATCCCCGTGTTGTTGTATTGCATAGTGGCCCCAGGGTATAGAGACGACGTTCCCTTGTAAGATTTTCCGTTTATCGTCCTTGCTCGAAAGAGCGACCTTCTTGCTTTCATACGAATATATATTGTGTAAGGTACTATGAATCCCGCGGGTCATTCTTGATACGGTGTCATTGTATAACAGAGTGTGTTTAAAGTGGTCAAACTTGAGTGTGTCTCGAACGACGGCTCGTTGGATCCCCTTACAGCGCTTTTCCTCGGCTAAGCTCAAAGTGAGGTAGGAATAAAGTTTTGAGCGAAGACCGACGAACTCTGTAATTGGATCGCCAGCAGTCTCGTCCTTGAACGTCCCCATTACCTTCAAGTTGTCCGTACTGTACAGGAAGTGGTTTTTTGGAAAATTGGACGTGTCGTAGAGGTTTCGATCACGGATCATATCTCGGTACCGGTCTTCAGTCTTGATGGCAAGAATGAACGAGTCCGTATCAATATAAAGAATGGATACACGATTCCTCGGGTAGCGGGAAAGTAATTTATTGTAATAAAAATCGTACATATGGGTTTTGCTTAGTTCAAGCACTGAAAACCCGACTATCATTGGTTTATCGAACGTAATATTGGTGGTCTTTAAGCGGATACCGACCAGCTCTTCATCGAAGATAGTGCGATCGATGAAGTCTGGCCGGGAGATATATCGAATGATCTGTTTTTCATGAGTACCGAGTACGATCCGCTGTCTTTTCATGGGGTTTTCCAAAAATTTTCCATAACAAGCGTTGGAAATCAGCTTCAGGAGGTCTTGGTGGAATTTATTGGTGGCCTGTTTTCTTAAATTGGCGTTCAGTTTGATGAAAGGTCTCAGGAAAGGTTTTTGTTTGAAGAAAATCCCCCTGTGTATTTTCTCCAAGACAAGTCCGTGTGAAATGGCCTGCTTAAGAGCAACGTAATGAATGACGTATTTTTTCTTGTCTTGGAGGGTCAACAGAAGTTTGGGATTTTTGGATGATGGAGATGGCGGAATTTTCTTTTCCGGGCAGAAAGGAAGATCGGAATGGTAGTCGTGAAGGTGCTGTGGATACTTCAAATCCACCTGCAGGATGTAGCCAAAGTTGCAGTCGTCCGGCACTTTCATGATTCGATGTTCTCCGTCTTCTTTCTCGAAAAGATAATTGATCTGGAATGGGCTTATCCAATGATAACCACCGTATGGTAGATACTTGCACATTGTGTAAGCATAAAGGGCGGTCACATCTAGATATTGAATATACGTTGACGGCTCGGTGAAGGGAGTTCTGTTTTCCTCACCTGTCACCAACGGATTGTCTGCAATTGCGTGTCGTAATGAGCATTGTGAAATGCCACCACGTATGGAAGCACTAATAAACTGTATCATGTCAATGTCGGTGAATAGCTCTATTTGAACACGAGACATCTTCAGAAAAGCGTCGTAGGAAAAAGCCGGCAGTGTCAAGTAATTTATACAATCGAGGCCGTAATTGTTCATGCAAAAACCTCGGAATTCTTGCATCACATCCGCCAAAAGGCAAACGTCTAGTTTGAGATAGAAATCAGCGTACTCTCCGAGATTTTTGAATCCGAACGCAGTCCAGGTGGTGCAGAACCTTTCATAATCAGCGTCGGAAATATGGGTATTTTGCAAGCGATTGTAAAAGGCTTCTTTCGGTGGGGGAACCGTGTCGGCTAATTTTTTCGCATCGGATAAGTAATCATAGCAATAAACACCTTTCTTTTTGACGAGGTTGAACTGGTCGTCGTTGGTGCACAGTCTTCGAGCATGGACAAGAGAAGTTTCAGGAACAGATGAAACTAAATTGTCCAGAGAAGAGGGTAAATGACGAATGCTATCGATGAAAACTATGCGGAAGCGATTTTCTACCCAAATACTCATTCTTATATAAGTCTCCATCGTTGACGGGATGATAGAGACTCGATAGGTACAGCCGCTAACTGCTCGCACCATCGGGTGAGCGTCGTATTTACCCCAATTGTGACAAACGACAATCAGGCTCTTGGGATGAGAATATCTCAAATTGCAAACTCCGCATAAAGCTTGACGGTAATTAGGTTGGTCTGGTGAAACATACTGATGGTTGTGATCTCGACATTTCCGTAGGACTTCATCAAACTGAAGGCCGCACATCGCACAATGGGTAGCGTTCCGGTGAGCCCTTATATTCTCTTCTGTCATCCTGATTTCTTCGCCAAAATTATGATCTCCCGAAAGGTCGCTGGCGATACTGATCATCTCTTCGATAAAGTGAATATGAGGTGATGGACCGCGGTATAATTTGGGCTTGTTCATATTATAGGTGGGATCTGAAGATTTTAAAATGTATGTATATGACATCGGCATATGTTTCTGATAGTTGTGGTTATTAGGTCGTTCAGGATCTGGGTCGATGTTGCGTAGGTAGCATTCGAAATCTGCGTATACCACATATTGATGTGGCATTGCATACTGTATATTTTCGAATTGCTCAAGTTGACCTTTACCGAACATTATGTCGGGTTTTGCCGGCTTAAATTGAAGACATAATTCCATGTGCTGCTGTAACTGCTCGTTACATTTGTAGCGAGAGAAACAACGTCTGCGCATGAACGTCTTCCTGGTAAAAGTCGACAATTGTCTACGAACCACTGCTTCAAGGTTCGTAATCCAACAATAATGTGATGTTTCTCCATTCGTGAAAAATAAAAGGTCTGTGTGGTCTTCCTTGATAATATCTGGAACTTTCAAAGGATAAAGGAGCGGTTTCTTTCTTTTGTTGGAAGCAGGTTTCTGTATCGATTCGACAGGATCTTGAACGCCTTTCTCATTAACATCATATTGCTGTCCATCTTCCTCTTCGTCGTCAACGTCGTCTTCGTCGTCGTCGTCGTCGTCGTCGTCGTTGTCGTCAAGGTCTCTCTCGTCTGTCATCGAATCATCGCGTACATTGATTTTCGGCTTTTTCACTTTTTGTTGATAATGTCCCGATAATCCATACACGGAAACGCTCAAATTATTCACCTTCTCGAATTTTGAAATATCCTTCAACTTGACGGGAAATTCGAGACAAGAAAAATCATAATTTTCAAGATATTGGTTGTATTGGAAAGGCCTATTCTTATTTTTAGTACCGATTGGTAATTTTTTTCCGAGCATTGCATACATGAAACATTTATCATCGGAATTCTTTACATTTACAATATGTTTTGAATTAATCGGTAGCGGTATATAAGTAGAACCTTTGGAGAGAGGTCGATAAAAATTTATTCTCAACTCGGTGCCCATTATAAGCTTCAGAACCCAGCCGGATCCTTTCATGACAAACTCTTCGTGCTCCTCCATCACACTCGTAAAAGCATCATCCAGAAGGTGGTTTAAGTTAGTTTCGTGGAAAACAGGAACGTTTTTGGTTTTATAAAGGACGATTTGTGTTTGGTCAGGCTCCTCCGGTTTCTCGAATTCAAGGTAAACGAGGATGTTGAATTTAATGTTGTCCAATTCCAGTAGGCATAGGGACATTATATTTTTCAGAGTTTCTTTCGTATTTTGTAAATAGTGTTCTAAATCTAACAGGGTAACAAGGAGATTTTTAATATAATAGCTTCTAAGTTTATTATTTGCAGCGGAATCAACCTTGCGAATAGTTTCTTCCGTCTTGAAAACATTTCTTATGTGAGTGGTGGATAACTCGTGACGACCTTTAGGAAAGTGGGCACGACATATAGCACACCAAAAACGTAAAGTGGACATGACTCACTTTTTAAAATTGCTTCTGGGTAGAAAAAGACTGCGCCGGTTGATACTGGTTAGAATGTTCGCAAGATTTGTTCCTCTGAATATCCGCAAAATGAACGTCTGTAACAATAAAATATTTTTTATTTTTATTTTAGAATAAATCGAGGCAGTCCTGTTGATGACGAAGAAGACGAGGAAATCGAAGTTATAACATTATCTTCTGATACCGAATCGGATTAAACTAATTGTAAGCATTTGTTCGTTTTAAGAAAGAAAAAAATACAGTAAAGTAAAATGAATCGTATCGAATCAATCAATTTGAAAAAAATTAGTTTCGTAGTTACGCAGAGTTTTTTTTAGAAAATTTGTTTTTTCGCAGAAGGGGAAGTATATTTCGGCTTCAACATTTAAGTTCAAAACTGAGTGATTAAAAAATGAAAAAAATTAAGTAAAATAGTAAAGTTTCAGGAGACGTGTAAAATGGACAGAATCAATTGTTTTTTTCGGTGTAAAATTGAAAGGACTCACCTGAGTAAAAAAAGGCAGAAGATGATGATGAAAAAAGGAATTGTTCCCAAAACTGACGAGGAGAGTATCGGCTGAAGAATCCTGCACCGGACACAAACGGTAAGAAAATAAAACTTCTTAATTTTTTTCCGCACTTGACACAAGGGAAGGCGAGGACCGTTAGGCTGACACAAGTGTAGGCTAGCGGGAGCGCGGCGTCATTTATAAGGTGGGCTCTACGGCGAGTGTGGGGAACATGGATACTGGAGGGAGAATATTGCGCAGTATGATGGAAGTGTTTACTTATTCGACTTGGTGTGATTTTTTTCAGGGAGCAGAGGGGAATGATACAGCAGAAGGTTACAAATTTTCGTTTCTCCTGTCATAGAAGAGTACGTATTGCACAATATTATGTTTTGTGTTTACATATTGAAATATTTTTTGTAATTTTCTCCGCGGAAACTCGGCCCACTCCTTGTTATAGTGTGTTCGAGGTTGTAGTTATTGCACAAAATGAAGCAAATTTTTTTTTTGACAACGTGAACCTTGTATGGTTGCATCAGAAAAACGAGTAGTTTCTGCACAATCTAGGATTTGATATAAAATGGACTGAAAACGATACAAAGCTAGGGGGGGCCCCGAGGGTAGTCACGCAAACGCAGGCAGTGGGGCGTAGCATGGTCATGAATTGGCTATGATGTCAAGTTTAATTATGAATTTCAGTGTCTGTTTGGATGGTATTTCTAACGAAAAAAAATGAGGAATTCTTCTACACAATCTGGGATGGACAAGAAGGAATCAGTCATTACGAATTTCTGAGAGTAACATAGTCTGATACGACACAAAGCAAGCCGGGCCCACGAGGGCCCGGCTTGCTGGAGTGTGGTGTACTTTGTAAGGGTGCTATCTTCTTAATCTGACACAATGCATTATTGGGCTAAAAATTAGGAAACTTATTGTTTAACATTACAGCACACGTATCCTTGAGCAGATTGTGACGACACAAAGCAAGGGGCCCTAGCGGGCCCCTTGCTGGAGTGTCCTACGGCTTCTAAATATAGTTGTTCGCATGGGTGTCCTTGCGTAGATTGAGACGTCTTGCAACATTTGGCAAGTAAGGGTCTAACTGCACGGGGGAATTGGGCGCGTTCGTGAGGTCAGTGAGGCCTAAGGACGGCTCACGCAGTGGACCCTGTAATTATTCATCACTCCGGCACAGAGGAAAAAGTAGCATAAGTTAAGACGCAACAAAGCAAGAGACGCTCTGCTGGATCGTAGTACAGGCTCGGTGGATAGATGTAAATTGCGGTATTGGGCTAGACATTAGGCAACTTGTTGTTCAAAATTATCGCATGCGTGTCCTTGCGTAGATTGAGACGTCACAGAGCAAGGGGCCCTGGCGGGCCCCTTGCTGGAGTGTGTTACGGCTTCTGAATAATAGTTGTGAACTGCGGTTTTCGGGTAAAATATTAGGACATATGTTGTTTCGTATCAGTAAACGTGTGATTACCGTGAGAAGATGTGCTCGTCATTAGCACGGATGCATTTTGTGCTTATTATAAGCACAAAGTGCAGGATGCAGTTTGTGCTCACGATGAGCACACAGTGCAAGATGCAGGTTGTGCTCATTATAAGCACAAAGTGCAAGATGCAGTTTGTGCTCATTATAAGCACAACGTGGGAGATGCAGTTTGTGCTCATTATAAGCACAACGTGGGAGATGCAGTTTGTGCTCATTATAAGCACAAAGTGCATGATGCGGTTTGTGCTCATTATAAGCACAAAGTGCATGATGCAGTTTGTGCTCACGATGAGCACACAGTGCAAGATGCAGGTGTGCTAAGACATATATTTGCTACCTACTTGCACTCGCTCCATCACTCGGGGAAGAGGAGCGAGCCCCGTCTCTGTAAATGCTATAAGGTCGTGAATCATCTCCGCAATTGGATGTTTGTCAAATTTTTTCTGCCGTTGCTCCATTGTTATCTTTTTAGTCGCGATTTTTTTGTCCTTCTGGAGTTGGATCTCGTCTTCCAGAAGAGCTTGTGTCGGTATTTCCGGAGTTTCGGACCGGCTCCGCGATTTTTCTCTTTCCGTTTCGGATTCCGAATCCACCACACTCGAAATTTCTACCAGACGCGCTTTCTTCATCAACCGATTTTCGAGTTTGCTCTTCTTCCCCTCCGTAATGTTGGAATATCGCGTCAAGTCCGCATCCCGCTTTTTAGTACCCGGTTACGATTTTCTCGCTGCGGCACTTAAGCGGAAATCGTCGGGGCCAAAAGAAAACGCACTCAAATCATGAAGGAAATATTTATTGAGTGATAGGCATGGTCACGCTAATTATTAACCATGTTATCAACCTATGTTCGTGTAATCGACGGAATTGCGTTTTGACTTTAGATCGAATTGTTTCGGAAAAATTGATACCCTCTCCCAATTCCTTATGGAACCCTGCATCTTGAAATTCCTGAACCCCTTGAGCGAGAGGGATACTTTTGGAGTTATGGAGTTAAAATGCACGTACATTGTTTAATAATGATACAGGGTGAAGCTTATCAGAAAATCTAGGGACAATGTAGAAACCTTACAATAAATTTAATTCAACAGTCAAAAGTTGAAGAATAGTCAAGAAATTTTGTAATCTTTAAATTTTTTGTGTTGCCAAAACTTTGAAACGCCTATGATTCGAACCCATGATTTCTATCAACAGAGTTTTGCAATAAATAAGGTCTTAGATTTCCGCTCGGACCGAAAATTGATTTATTCATTTAGACTGAAGATTCTTGTATTTATCTGTTAATTTTTTTTATTCTTCGTTAATGTACCATTTGTGTGTGTTTTTTTTAAAATTGTTATTTGGTCACCTCATCGTGGGTTGTCTATTTTGTTATGAATGAAAATAAACATTTTAATTTAAATTTGAATAAATTTTGTTGTACATCATACGATTTTTTATAATTATTTTCCTATTACCAGACGGAGCAAATAAAGTCAATTTTGTGAGCTTTTTTACGTGGGGTGTTCAACATTAGACCGTTGGAGGTCTTCGCACGGGTAATAGGATTGCAGTGGCGCGATTTCGTAAACAGGGTGTGAAAAAGTCATCTCCTGACTAGTAAGTAAAATATTGACGCTAGAGAACGCTTCTATGCCCCCCGTCTCACTTATTTGAAGTGGGCAGCATAAATTTCGCCTCCTGTGTTTTTTGGAACCTTTTGCAATGGCTGAATTTTAAGATGAACATTACGCTATTATGCAGTTCTTGAAACTTAATAAAACTAAAACAGGGTTTCTACCGTCAGTAAATGCCGGAAGATATCAGGAAATGGGTGTCATCAGGAAAATCGCACAGAGAAAAAAAAGGAGGTGTTCGCATCTTGAGGATTGTGTACCCTGTGACGTAGGTCGGTGCAACATGGTCAGCAAAATCCGGAATTCGAAGTATGAAAGACGGACCATAAAATCCGATTTGCCTAAATCAACGTATGATATAATATTGAACACTTTATGTTGAATGCATTTTTTCCATAAATTACATCATTTCCAAGAAAATCGATGATAAAAGTCGCCGTACCGACTTTTGTCATCGCAAAAATTCCCAGATGCCCGAAATGCAAACTCCTCTATGGGAAAATCGGTCATGGATCGGGAAATTTCGAGTGCGTCAAGCGTTTTTCAACTATATGCAGTTTAGCACATGCAAAAGTGAAACATTATTTGATTCAATTAATCAAGTATGTTGTTTTGTTAAATATGTAGTTTGAGTGTTAATTTATTTGTTTACAAAATCAGAAAATTTCGATGAAAATATCATTAAAGTCCCAAAAGACATTTCAGTAGAATCATTGTAATGGTAAGACCTCTGCGAAGATGATAACAGCTCATGGGAGTGTTGTAATACAAAAGTGAGACCTGTGCAAAGTTAAATTCAACTTATGTAAGAAGTGTAATGCCCAAAAGGTCCCACCAAAGGTAGTTTCAAGGCTTCATGAAGGTCCTGAACTTTAAAGTGGTCCTAGTTATGCTGATACAGCTTCATTTAAAAAGATTATCAACACTGCCGTGCTAAGGAATAACGCCGTATGAGCCTTCGGGCGTTGCCAAATTTCCCCTGGTAAATCACTAATTTTCAGAAAATTTCTTCTCGGATTTCTTCAATATCTCGGATTATTTTGCTTGTAATTTGATCTAAAACGTCTGAAAATTTCAAGGAAAAATACTCATAATTTTCTTCAAATATAAACATTTTATCGAAAGAAATTTGGCAACTCTCGAATGTTCACACTGCGTTTTCCCTTAGCACGGCAGAACACTATAGCGACGTGTTGGTACAAACTGATGTAATCCAGAGTATGGGCGTAGCCAGAGGCCCCCCCCCCCCCCCAANGAATTGAAACTAAGATTATCTGCAGACGCATAGCTGTACGCTCATTGAGTGTGGCATAATTTGTAAATATATATGTAGTATTAAAAAATTACTGATACGCGGAAAATTGCAAGTACTTTGGGTGACTTTAACGCCCGAGTAGAAAAGTAAGCAACGGAGTAAAATCCACAAGAAGCTTCAAGCTGCCTAATTTTACCACTGAATCTGATACAATCGAATCTCATGTTCAATGGCAGGCTATGTTCTTAGTCTTTTACCCACTCGATCCATCATGACTGATTCAGATTTAGTGGTAAAATTAGGCAGCTTTAAGGGTTCTTGTGGATTTTACTCCATTGTTTACTTTTCTACTCGGGCGTTAAAGTCACCCTAAGTACCCGCAATTTTCCACGTATCAGTAATTTTTTAATACCATATATACGGCTACGCGTACTACTACACGTACGGCTACTAAACATACGCATATCACGCGGCTACACGTGAGAAAAAGTCCCGGATTTAGTTAATGTTTTGTAAAGCTAACATATTTTGGAAGAAAATGGTGTATACATACGCTAGGTTTGCTTAAAAATTGAGGAAGATACAGCATCGTGAACATCGCGCCCATTCACGTTTTCGCGGCGCACCCGTCAACGCGCGATCCGGCTCGCTGCAGTCAGCCAAGTTCCGAAGCGTTCCAAAGTTCCGAGATCCGAGGTTCCTCAATTTTTGAGCAAACCTAGCATATTCATATACCATTTCCTTCCAAATTATGTCAGCTATTCAAAACATTAACTAAATCCGGGACTTTTTCTCATGCGTAGCGTAGCCGCTATATATAAAAAAAAAAAAAAAAACGCAAAAAAAGGCCCATATAGGCAATTCTCTCAATATGGCGGAAAATGCTCACCAGATACGCGGTGGGAAACTTCAGATTCTGATTCAGCGACCCAAAAAACATGAAGTTAGACCAAAAAATCGCTGTGTACCCGAAATTCCAGGTAGCCTCATTTTTAGCTACCAGGCGCCTGGACCACTACTTCAATATTCAGCTTCCATCGCCTCATTGCTGAGGCGCAGGGATACAACTATTTGAACTATCCGGAACGCGTAATGTATCACGCCTCAATTGAAGGCGTTTTCTAGTTTACTATCTTTGCACACATTTTCTGGTCCCATAAGGTTCGGAGCATGGAAGAAAAGGAATGACTGATCTTCCGAGCTACTTCCACGGTTACGCGCGCATCCCCATGTTTTAAATGTTTCTATATTACTTTCTCGAATGTCCGTCGATTTCACAATCAACTAGAAAATTGATTGTGAACTCAAAATTTGCTCGGACATGATTTGGTTCTAATTTCAGCCTTTTAAGCATATTTTAATACCAAATTGTTTTGCATTATATTGTTGACTTGAGTTCCTTTTAATAATTAGTTTCATTACTCCTACTTCTTAATATTTAATTATTCTGCAAAAATTATCCATTTGCGAAATACAATCCTGGCTTTAGCGCCCATAAACTACGGTCTTAACGGTCGAAACTGACGTAGCGGTAGCGGCACAGGAAAACCGAGAAACCAAGCGGTGACGCTACTTCAATATTGAGCTTCCATCGCCTTGCTAAGGCGCAGGGATACAACTATTTGAACTCTCCGGAACGCGTGAGGTATCACGCCTCAATTGAAGGTCGAATTTGAGGTATGGATGTTTTTCATCTCACAGTCGTCGGTGATGAGAAAATGTGTAAATCCACACGTTCTGGAGTGTAATGTCGGCGGCAGTCGTGATCTTCTGCCATCAAGTCGAGGCGATACGCTTGAAGGCGCTCCGAGCAACTATTCCACCTCGGAAGTATTGCACAGTATCAGACGAAATTGAAGGCGCACTAACGTAGGCAAATTGACTGGTATCATTTTCCTCCTTAGTCTATTGCAGTCGTCCGTATCAACCAATGGGATTGCTTCATTTTCCCTATGTCTCGTTATCCATCGCTTTGTCTACCAATTTAAATAATCAGTCTGTAGGTAGAGCTATCAAATTACCTTACGGTTCAGGTTTGAAAGCCGCCAATTCCAAGTTTTTGGTACCTAATAGGTAAAGACAAACTTAAGCGGGCTGATTATTGAAATTGATAAACAAAGCTATAAACAAAGAAGACAACGGGAAAATGAGGCGTTTATATGAGTGGAAGCGGGTGGTTACAATGGAAACAAGCAGTAACTCCAGCGCACTGCCGCTGGAGAGCGGCTCTGGGCCGCTCACATCCAAGACATATATAAACTACTAGCCGTGTTCAGCTCGCTGTGCGAGCTGTCACGCCTAGCTGGAGAGTGCCCCTGGACCCCCCGTTCCTCGCTTCGCGATGAATTTGCGACTCGATCCGCGAGCCGCCCCTCATAGCTATTAACTTTTAAAAGGACGAATTTATTTTTTTTAACGAAGTATGGTGAATAGTGGCGAATATGTTATCTTTGTCCTCATCAACAATCGGCAGACTTAGCATTTTAGGCCACGGCCGCCATCTTGGATTTTGAAATTTTGAAAATCTGACCAAATATTTGAGTTTCCCGTTGAAAAATACATCCGGATACCGAGTTTCACGAAAATCGATCAAACAGGAGCCGACATAGCATTTTAGGCCACGGCCGCCATCTTGGATTTTGAAATTTTGAAAATCTGACCAAAAATTTGAGTTTCCCGTTGAAAAATACATCCGGATACCGAGTTTCACGGAAATCGATCTAACAGGAGCCGACATAGCATTTTAGGCCACGGCCGCCATCTTGGATTTTGAAATTTTGAAAATCTGACCAAAAATTTGAGTTTCCCGTTGAAAAATACATCCGGATACCGAGTTTCACGAAAATCGATCAAACAGGAGCCGACTTAGCATTTTAGGCCACGGCCGCTATCTTGGATTTTGAAATTTTGAAAATCTGACCAAAAATTCGAGTTTCCCGTTGAAAAATACATCCGGATACGGAGTATCACGAAAATCGATAAAACAGGCGCCGACTTAGCATTTTAGGCCACGACCGCCATCTTGGATTTTGAAATTTTTAAAATCATCGACATATCGACAGTATCACCATGATTCCAAAAATACACTACACAACATATCATTCACTCACAAGAAAAAACAATGAATTAAAATAAAATCATGGCAAGGTCCACAGCCGAAAATGGCGACGATTCCCATCTACCAACGCGCGCTCTAACCAATGGTAGATGTACCATTGGTAACATCCACTGCAGAGACCGAATAGCAGCTCTAGGTGCTACCACCAGATCCGCTAAAATGAAGTGAGTAATAGACTAATCAACGGCAATTCATGAGGGATCGTATAGTCAGTTCATCATTTTCTCCCTTGGTCTACAACAATCACCCATTTCAACCAATGGGGTCGCTCAATTTTCCCTATGTCTTCTTTGTCTATCGATTTGTCTATCGATTTCAATAATCAGCCCGCTGACCTGCGAAGTTACTCATCTATATTATCAATGAAACTTGTCCAGGTAGCTTTGTTACTCGCATAGGTTCAAGCATGTCCACCTATG